GTCATTTTTGCTGATAGCCTCTAGAAAGGTCATCCGAGGTCATTTGAGGCTACAAACAGATTTTTGCCAATAACTCGCGATTGGAAAGAGATAAAACACTGGGGATGGTCTCATTGTGTTTGTCTTGTTGAGACGCATCGACTGATATGCAACATGACCTTTTCCGGTCAGGTCATGACCTTGACCTGAGGTCAAATTTTCAAGTTGACCTTTCAAGGTCAAATTATAGTTCATTCGACGCGTCTCGGCGAGAGGAACACAATTCTGGCAATATAAATGTCGTGGCTTTCTGTAGTCAAAAGTTATTGTCGAAAAACACTTTTCGTAAAAACAGCTATTTTTGGAGTTTTTGCCCTCTGGAGGCTAAACCGTTGACCTGAGGTCAATTTTGATTATGATTTTATCAAAAGAAGAGCTCAAAACCTATCGATTGCTTTTCCATGCGTTTTTCTAGCTACCATAGTTCCTGAGATAATGGCATGTTTTCTGAAAAATATAATGACCATTGGCAAATTTTGACCTTTGATGACCTCTGGTGACCCCAATATTGCTCTAAGATGAAAAATGACCGAATACTTTCAAACGTACGCATTGAGAGCTATCGACTGCTTTTTACCGCGTCTTTCTAGCCCTCTTAGTTTTTAAGTTAGAGGTGGGTGGTAACATATGCCCCCCCCCCCCACTAGGGCGAAGTTGGCTGAGACCGCCACTGGGGCGCGGGTTAACCCTCATCGGCCGAGAAGGGATGGGGCGGGTGCCGCCTCATAGGGTTTTTCGCGATAGCTCAAAACCCGCCTAGGGTAGACAGCTGAAACTTGGCATACCTAATCTTTTATTCAAGCTGGATCGTTTGACACCAACCGCGTTTTCAGGTCAGGTCAGGTCACTGACCTATGACGTCATAAATGAGCCTCTGCGAGGTCCTCATAGATGTTGCAAATTTGCAACGCCCTCAGTGCCAGAGGAACTTTCATGCAGGAAGATGACATTACAGGGCGTAGTATCCTTCAGAAGTCTCACAACTTGTATATCTCGGATTTAACCTAAATGTCACATGAGGTCAGGTCGTTCACGTGACCTCACCATTATAAGTCAATGGGGGAACTATGAAAACTGTTATTTTGGCGCCGGAAATGATCTAAAACTATCCCAAGCACATGGAATCGTGGTTTCATGATCGGACCTTGCAAGGAGTGCATGAAACCATGATTTCATGTGCTTGGGACAGTTTTATGTAGATCATTTCCGGCGCCAAAATTACGGTCTTCATATTTCCCCCATTGACTTACAATGGTGAGATCACGTAACCGAACTGACCTCATGTGACCTTTGGAAAAAATCCGAGATATACAAGCTGTGAGACCTCTGGAGGATACTACTTTCTGTAAGTTTCATCTTCCTGTGAAAGTTCCTCTGGCACTGAGGGCGTTGCAAAGTTGCAACATCTGAGGACCTCGCAGAGGCTCATTTATGACGTCATAGGTCAGTGACCTGACCTGACCTGAAAGGGTGGTTGGTGTCAAAAGATCCAGCTTGAGTAAAAGATTAGGTATGCCAAGTTTCAGCTGTCTATCCTCAGCGTGTTTTGAGCTATCCGCACCAGCCCCACCCCTTCTCGGCCGGCGAGGGTTAATGTTTATGTATATGTGTTGCAGGCACTTTAGAAAATCAGTCATTTTGTAAAATGCCTAGGCATTTTGCAAAATGCCTGATTTTCCAGGCTTTTTGCAAAAAGCCTAGGCATTTTACAAAATGACTGACTCTCCAGTCATTTTGCAAAATGCCTAGGCATTTTACAAAATACCTAGCCATTTTACAAAATGACTGAGCAGCGTGTTGAAGATACGAGTACCTAATTATATACGTTTTGGTAGCGTGTAGGTGGACCGAGGAGTCCAGCATTATGACCAGAGGAGTCCAGCAGTGGGAAGTCCATAGCTACCTCATATATGACAGCTAAGAAGCCTGCTAAGGGTAAGATGTCGCCGGCTGAAGCGGGATCGGCCGACGCGGGAAACGCGGCAATCACAAGTTTGTGTTTACACACTCATAACTCAAGTTGTTACCGGCCGATTTTCCAAATTCTTTGACCATGAGATTGCCTGTACATTTTTTAGTCTTCTCACAAAATTTGACGCGAATCGAAGATAATCAGCGGTAAGGAGCGCGATGTAAAGACGGAACCGTCCCGCCTCGGCACAGTCTACAATTCAGGCGGCGCGTAACGGTTAGCGCCGGCCGCCGCGCCGCCGCGCCGCCGCGGCGGCAGGATGTTTGACTTTACATCGCTATTATAAGAAAAGTTGTGACCCGATTTTCTTATTTCTTGCACGAGAAGATCTGCAGTTCAATTCTGGACAGGTAGCCAAAATTTCACATTAATATCATGCTTGCGGCGCGAGTTATTGGCGAAAAACAGGAGGGGTGGGCGGAATCCGCCCCCCCCCCCCTTCCACTGCGCGTGTTAAAATGTGAGGATGAGAGAGAAGGAGTGGGAAATTATAATTAAATTCGAACGTGTTTTTAATGTCCAAATGCATAATGCAGTTTTGTCCGTAATGGCACAATCAAACAAAGACTACACTTATTCGTTTACATGTAATTGTACATCAACCGGGCCTGTCTATTGACTAGGGCCGGTCTCCGGCTGGTTTTGTTAGGTCTAGTTTCAGGCAGAACATGAACGGCGTTGATGTACTTGGGAGTTTTTACAGCGTTAACTAAACAATGCTTTATGCTACAGCCGAGTTTGCAACTCAACCTGGTCGTTACTCAGCATTGTCGTCATCACAGAGCTTCAAATCGATCAGGTACAGGCTGAACACGTACCTATAGGGTACCTATAGGAAGACGTGCAAAAACTGTTGGCCATAGTATCTGTAGTGGGATCTACGTTCCATGCTGGTCAGGCATTTTGCAAAATGCCTGCAAAATGCCTAGTCATTTTGCAAAATGCCTAGTCATTTTGTAAAATGGCTAGCCATTTTGAAAAAAGCCTGGTTGCGTTCAGCCATTTTTCAAACAGCCGTCTTTTTGTAAAATGCCTAGGCATTTTACAAAATGACTGATTTTCTAAAGTGCCTGCAACATATGCATGAGCAGATATAGTATCATCGCAGATAAAATATATCACTAATTTATGTTCGATACATTCTTATGTTGTTACAAATATTCACTCATTATATTTTCAATTTATTTGACTTTTATGCATGAC